ACAGGTCAGGCAAGAACCGGGTATAGGCTTAGGGCTCTCAGATTTCAGTTTCACTAGGGCACTAAAGCACTGTCAGGAAACCTAGTCTGAAGCCCAATAGACTGGGAAAAAGCATAGCTGGGTGCCCCAGGGATCACCAGGGACACAACCCCTAGAAGCAGGCTAATTCCAGACTGCACCTGCCAGGGCACTTTCTCCACCTCCCGTAGGGCCTTCCTGAGCTCAGAAACTGGGTGGGACAGGATCCACAGGGAAGGAGCCTCAGCACTTGCAGCTGACAAGGACCGGGGAAGTCCAGGGATGACAGAGAGGACTGGCCAGGTCAGGAGAAAATCCACACTGTGGGATCCCAGAGCAAGAGACTGTCTTACCCCGTCAAGAGGGCCTCCACCATGATAAGTCAATTTTTGGCAGAAAACTAACAGCTGGAGAGAGAGTGGGGAGGGTGAGGTAAACCATCTGGCTTCATAAAGCCAGAGCAGCTGGGCTGAAGAAACCAAGACAGACAGAGGACAGCAGAAGCTGGGAATATTATGGGAAAGAAGGACTGTCCAGAGCTGTGCTGCCCAACATAGCAGCAGCTGGCCAAATTCAGCTATATAATTTTAAATTAATTAAATATATTTGAAAAACCAACCCTTGGCTCTACTAACCACATTTCAAGTGCTCAACAGCCACAGAAGGCTAGTGGTTATATTGCAGACAGTGCGTATGGAACATCGCAGGAAGTTCTATTAGACAGAGCTGGTCCAGAGGCCTCACTTCATCCCTTAGGTTTGAAATGCCTTGGGGCCCTAATTTGTCCTGCAACATGAAAGTAAGTCCCAAGGCTTTGGCTGCTCTTATTCAAGAAGGCTGAGGTGCCAGGAAGGTCAATGAGTGATTTCACTTTGGTTCTGTTCGCCTCTCAGTCTGGGAGAAAGCTGAAAGGGAAGACAAAGGCTTTGATCACAGGGAGCTGCCAGGGTCAAATCCCCTCCAGCATCCTCCCCTGGAGGGAGATACGGAGTGGGCAGCAGCCAAGGGGCACGAGATACCTCTCAGCAATAGCAGACCTGCTTCTTCATCCCTCCATGACCCATGTGAAAGTTTATAGGGAGCAGAGGAGTCAGGAGCCTTTCACTGGTGGAACTCCTGCCTTCCTGGGGCAAACTGACTTCTGCTGAGGAGGGCAAGCCTGGAACCCCTCCACTCCCTCCTCCCCTCCTCATTGTGCTTGCTGAGTCATTGTCAACAGCAAATCCCAGGCAACCAAGTGACATCATCAGCCCTTCTGGTACTAAAACCTGTAGTTAACAGTGGAGTATCTGTGCCTGGCACTGCTTCCCGAACCAGGTTCTTGCCTCTCTCTCTCCATGGTGATGTCAGAGCTGCCCAAGTGGGCTGAAGCCTTGGGACCACCCAGGGTCATCCTGTCAGCCAGAAAGGGTTTGCTGATGGCTTCCCTTTCTCCTGCCATTCTCACCTTGGGTAAAGTCCAATCTGGAGTTTTCACTGGGATTGTACAGAATCTATGGATCAGTTTGAAGAGAACTTACATGTTTATAATATTGAGTTTTCCAATTCATGAACACAATATATTTCTCAACTTACTTAGTTTTCTTTAGTTCATTTCTATGAAATTTTATAGTTTTTTCTGTAGAGATTTTTGACATTTTTTATTAGATTTATTCCTAGGCATTAGATATTTTTTCAGTGCTTATCATAAAGTATATCTTAATTTTTTTTCTGTCTTTGCTGATGCTTTCCAATTCCCTATAGGAGAACAACCCAGGGATCTAGTTACCTTCAGACAATTCTAACCAGGACTTTTCCATGGAGTCCAATGGACTCAAGTACCATTCAGTGTCTCTTACTCTAGGGAAGGGATCTCTTCTGGTTTGCTATTAGGTGTTGAAATCAATACTACTATTACCTACTGCATTCTGTTCAGACATCCCCATAGATCCCTGACGTTTTGGTGGGGGACTGAATTGCTCTAAACTGGTTTATACTCACCCATAGTTTTTGGTGTGTTTGGAAGAGAGTGTCAACCTAAGGAGTGGGACAGTTGGATTTAGGGCAGGGATTTACTTGAGTAAAGTCATTTTCCATGGTATGGTGAGGAGAACAGAAATGAAAAACTTGGCAATATCAATCACCACGAAGACAACAAAAGAATGAAACAAGATACAAAATGACCAGCCAACCAACTGACCAACCAACTAATCACAGAGACTGAAAGGATAGCGAAGAAAAGTCAAGCACTGAGAACTTCCGGTAACGTTTCTCTGGCTCCGGTTGATGCATCTTCTACATCTTTGCTGCCTAACTGTCCTTTTATACCTAATGCTTACAAGTGCAGACTCGTTCATATCATATATAAAGAATCATGCCAGTGAAATAAAAGGTGCTGAAGAGAATCTCAGTTAACGGTGAGATATGAAAGCTGTTCTGTATTTCAGAAGCTGCTGGTGCTTGGGCCACACCCAGCCAGATATTTCTACCAGGTCTTCAAGTCGTTTCTGGTTTGATTTGCTGCCTGAAATGTTGGAGGATTTTTTTCCTGGGGTCTATTCCCTAAATGAAGAACACAGCTTAATGAGAAACCAGGGCACCCTGTTCTCCTTAAGTCCCAACTGGTCAATCTTCTTTGGCCAGCCAGGTCCAGTGACCTTTAGCCCTCTATTGCCAGAAGTCCCTTTAGAGATATTCACAGAAATTATCCATTTTCCTTTCTCTTTACAGCACAGATTAACCCTGGCATGTGTGAAATGCAAACGGCCCCAGGATGGCTCTCTTACTTCTTTGGGAAAAGTCTTTCTTATTTTACTCCATCTTATCACAACAGGAAACTAGGGATTGAGGGAACTAGGAAACTCGCTTTATGGTTTAGACCACAGCTAGCTACTTCCGAAGAAATGGCTTATTCCTTGATCTGCAAACTTAGGTAAGGGGATCTTTCAGGCTAAGGCCCCTGCAGGGATCAATTTCATTTGCTTCGTAGGGCAGGTCTGCCCAATATATCTTCTGTGGTCATGAGGAATAATTCATAAAGTCCACTGCATGGCTCTGCAGACTGCATCAGACATCATCAGAGACACATCTGAGTCAACTGTGGAATGATTCAAGGCTTTGAAATATTTAAACCATATGTCTCATGAAACTAGGTGAAAGCAATGCCAGTTTCCCTACGAGAGGCTGTCATCTGTGACTGAAGCTCAACTTGGCAATAATCCCGCATTCCCAGCCTCACCGGTCATGTTGCTATGGGCTGTGAACCTGTTAGTACTGTGGGGCCACGTGGCTTGGAACAGGACCACAGGTAAGCAGAGGTCCCATAGGCCCTATGGAAGGTGACCAGGGAGATTCAGTGGTCTTCTTTAGGTCAGGACAAAATTTATGCCCCTGAAAGGGACTGGGCTTGGAAGGGAAAGTGAAAAGAGTATATTTAGTGCCTTGGAGGAGGTAGGAAATACCATTATTATCACCAAATGACATTTACTAGGAGTCTTATTTTGTGAAATTAGCCAAGATTCCTAGGCATTCTTTGAGAGAAGGAACCAACATTGCAAGAATATGGTCTGTTTTATCTTAAAGTCCCTCACAGGTTGTTTCCCTCTTTCTGAAAAGCACCCAGCAGTACACTTGACATGGAGGATGCTTGCTAACAGCTTGGCATGGTGGCAATTACATCGACTATAAAGTCAGGTTCTATTCCCAGTTCTGCCACTTAATAATGGTGTAATTAATATTACACTTAATTGCTCTGAGCTTCACTTCCCTCTTCCCTGAAATGAGGACCTGTGTTATGAGGGTGTTTTGAGGATTGCATGCAATGAGGTATGTGTAGGACATGGTAGGTTATTCAGAAGTGTTAGTTGAATTTTATTTCAGAGAAGATGATAGACATCTTGTTAAATGAATATGGATCCAACAGCCAAGGAGCACCCCCCCCTGTCCCATTTAACTCTAGGACAAGTAAAAATTTGAATAAAAATGGAATATATGGAAAGGACCCTTCCTTTTTGTCTCCTGTTGATCTGTGTTGAATCTGTAAAAACTAGTAAAGGAGGGGGAGAGAAGGCTCAAATAGCTAGAGAGTTTTCCTCAAGTCTGTAACCATATAATTCTCTTAGAACCAACTCTTTCTTTCTCATCGCTCTCCAAAAGGAGTTGCAGCTATACCCTCTCTCAGGAGCAGCTGCCTGTGTTGTGAATCCCAGGCCAGTGGATGCCAATGATTCTGACCTGTCTTCAGGGGTGGAAGATGGCGGGTGATGCTCAAATCAGTCTCCTTCTCCATTAGTCAGGAGAATGGGGGTGGGGCTGGTTAGGGAGGGCACAGAGAATCCAACGTGACAGGCAATCCATCCTTCCCTACCCTGCCTCATTCAGCCAATGGTTCTCATCTTTCTCCCAGCCTTTTTTCCTAGAAGTTGCTCGCAAGTAGCAAGCCTCAGACGTTTGCCCTTCCGGTACTGGAAAGCGCTAGGGTACAATGATGTAGCCTCTGAACAGGAGGACCCCAACGGCTGGGAAACTGAACCTGAGCAAATGAAGCCCTGGCTGAGCTTTTTACAGTGAGGGTGGTCTGTGGCTGATGAAGTGAGAGGGCAGTAGAACAGCAGCCCAAGTGAATCTGGGGGGCTGGTTGTGAAGAGGTTTAGTTTGCCAGTCTGTGGGCACAGTTTCTTCTAGATTATGTGCTGGGGGATGAGGGTGGAGACAGGGTGGGAAAGAGGAGAAGGACCATCATCTGCCTCCTTGGAAGAGGAGGCTCAGCACAGGGAGGAATCTGTTTCCTGTATTTCCCAGCCACAGACTAGAGTGGAGACGATCTCGAGGCGTTGTTCTGGTACAACTCCTGGTAGGTTTAGGAGTTGTAACATTTATCTTCCAAGAAGATGGGGTCTTTCACTGATTATTTCTGCCCCTCACTCTCCTTCTTTCAGTACTGGCACTCCCCCTTGTCCAACCCTTCAGTGCCTGCAGACCAGACAACTTTTTCAGAGGCCTACCTTGGGTTTGAAGGCAATGAGCTTCAGAATCATCTCCACGGTGAAGAGGCCAGTGAAGAGCATGTTGAGGATGTTCATGGCAATTTTGAAGAGGCAGCTCTGGCCGTAGTGCTGAGGGGAGGGGAAGGACTGTCAAAACGAGGCAGGGGCATCCCTACTCCTTACCACCCTCCTCTCAACAGAGATCTTCCTTGAACCAAGCCCTGGAAGGCCATTCACATCTCTGTGGGCAGCCAGGTGGACTCAGGAAATCCTGCAAATTCTTCCCTTCTCTGCTAGCTCTGAAAACACAGGTTATGACACCTTTATGGAGACTTCTGGTTCTCAAGAGAGCTCAAGCACAAGTTGACCTCCCTGAAGAGAGGTGGATATAGAATCAACCTCTATACCCATGCCTCACAGTAGCAAACTCTTCAGGCTCCCCCTCTGTTCTCCATTTCCTTCACTCTAAGCATTTTATTAACCCAGGCCTCTGTGGATTCTCTTATAAGGTCCCAGAGAGGAGCTCATCCTTGAGAAGGGACACTTGTCCTTCTCCATCTTGGAAAAGAGGACAGTTCTTCTGCTCTTTCTGTCTCTCTTGGCCAACATGAAGGAGTCAGCCATGCAGCTCTTCTACACTTCATCTCCTCCCCTAGCATCCTCCTTCCTGCAGGCATCATGGGTCCTCCCCTCGGACTGACCTGCATGGCCAAGCAGATGGTGTTGAGCAGGATGAGGACGAACATCAGGTATTCAAAGTAGGTGGAGTTGACCACGTACCACACTTTGTACTGGTGCTGGTTCTTGGGAATGTACCTGCGCAGGGGCCGGGCCTTGAGGGCATATTCCACGCACTGTCGCTGGGAGGGAGGCAGCGGGAGGGGCGGGGCGGGGATGGAGAGAGCGGGTTAGTAACCTGGATGATGTGTGTGGGGATGGCCGAGGAGGTGGGGTGTGGATGAAACTGCAGACCTGGGGCATCAGAGAACTAATCTACTTATCTAGCTCATTTACAGGTTTGAGATGGTATTTGGACTTTTTTTTTCCCCCTATCACTCCCTTAATCAAGGAAATCATTGCCTCTGGTCAGTTTCTTTTTTTTTATTTTGTCAAGGAGTTTGTGTCTCCTTTTTTCAAGTTGCTAATGCCTTGTATACTGCTGACACTTAGTTGGCATTTGATAAATACTTACAGGATGACAGACACTTGGTCTTCCCATTGATTATTTCCTATGCCACAGACTCCTTGGGGCACTTCTTAACTTTTCCTTCCTGTCCTAAGTCAATCTCCCTTATTTACCCATGTCCACAAGATCCGAAGACATAGTTCAGGGATAGGGGATCAGATCTGGAGGCTAGCTAGAATCTTGGGACTCCAGCACAGATTCAATTCATTTTCTCCGCACTCGGCCCAGATTCCCATGTCAGACACTGGGGACTCACTCCAGCCTCTTCATTTACCCTCAGCCTCCATACCCAATCTCTAGGCCTGACCAATTTTATTTCTTATCCTGTCCACCTCCACTATCATTAACCTGATAGTAAATCAGGGTCTAATCATCTCATCCACACTTTCTAATTGGCCTCCTTCTTTCCCATCTTACTTCCAATCCAAAGGCCATACAGCAGCCAGAATGATGAGTCTAAACCCAAGAGGTTGACATTTTGATGAGGGGTCCAGTTGGCCTAACTGGTGTAGAGCTGAATGTCTTGTGCCATGTACCTACCCATACAAGACCTTAAGTCACTCATGGACAGGGATACAGTTCCCCCGACTCTCTCCATCGGGGAGCCTAGTTGGGGAAGTGACCTCAGTGACCACATGCTGCAGCCCACCGTAACAGCTTCATTCCTCCCTGACAGAGTTTCCAGCTCTTTCTCATAGGCCAACAGAATACCTCCCAGTACTGGCATTCCCATGATTCCTCCTTAAGCCTACCTGCCCCCACCTCATGCACAGGCCTCTGTGTTTTCTTTAAGAAACCATTTACTAGTGGTTTTCTAAAGCCCCTCTCTTCCCCACCCTGAAACTCTCACTCCCTCATTGCTCTAGTTTCTTTCTTCATTATCAGTGTGCCAACCCACGTGAACACTTTCTGACTTGTCAACTTCTGAGACACAGGGCATGAGGTTTTTTTTCCCCCACAGAATCTATCATAGAGTCTCCTTAAGTAGATGCTTAACCAATATTTGTTGGCTGAATGCATTTGCCAGATCCAGGATTTGCATTTCTTTTGTCCAGGCCCTTCCAGAAGACTGACAGCCCTATTCCCTCATTGAGGAGCTGACAGATGATCTTAGTATCCGCATGGATCTCTCTCCTGACTCCAGTCTCTCTTCCGGGTGGGCCACAAGCTGCCATCTGCTGTCATTCCTCATGTAGCCTTGCTCCCCCCCACTGCCCTGCTACCTGTTCCTCTCCTTCCTAGGAAGCTACCTGGTTCTTGTCCAGCTCACAGTTCTTGTATTCCTGCTCCCCCTGCTCCTGGAAGGTGACGATGACGAAACCCACGAAGATGTTCATCATGAAGAAGGCAATGATGATGATGTAGATGATGAAAAAGATGGAGATCTCCACACGGTAGTTGTAGATGGGGCCCTTGTCTTCTGTGTGGGAGTCGATGGAGCGGTACAGCAGCCTGCAGGAGGAGACAGGCCCCAGAGGGAAGTGGAGAAGCAGTGTTACCTCTGTGGAGTGATGGCACCACTGCTCCTAGGGATCCTTGGATCAGGGGTGCTGGAAACAGCTCTAGGCTGGGAGTCAGAAGATCTGGGTTCAAGTCTCAGCTCTGCCACTTACTGGTGTGGGACCATGGGCAAATCACTTAACCTCTTAGAGCCTCAAATTCTTCATCTGTACAATGGAGACAATAAGCCTGACTTTCCTACCTGGCAGGGTGGTTGATATAATGTATATGGAGGGTGTTTTGAAACCGTCAAAAATTATTTTAATGTAAAATGAGTCATGGACATTGATTTCAAATACTGGAAATATTAGTAAACACTGAAACAGCTTTGCAAACTGGTGTAGACTCAGAGGATGTTACAATGAATATAAAATAAATCTATCTGAGAGCAAATATCCATTTAGATAGAAATATTAGATTGAAAAATGACCCAGGCTTATTTAGATCATCAGCAATGGTTTGGATTCACACTTAGGTAGTTTACGTGTGTATGCCATTCATTTGGGCCTGGACTATGTGCCCATGATGCTTATTCCTCTTCATGGATAGGGATTATCTCCTCTCTTTCCTTTGTTACTCTGCACAGTACTCGGTTATTCTCTAGGTATTATCTATATTTTACCACCTAAAGAATGGTGACTCTCATATCAGATCCATGTACTATTACTGACTTAGAAATATTTAGAATTTTCTCACTTTTAAATAATAATTTCCCTGGAATACACTGGGTAGGGGGTATGGGGAAGCAGGTGTCTATACAAGATATATGGAACAGCCTGGTAGAGGTGATGCAGTGTAAAAGGCCAGCCAGGTTGGTCTAGGCATTATCTCTGCAGAGGAATTTGGACTCAGGCTTCTGTCCCTTTCTTACGTCTCACTGTAATTATAGGCAAGGCTTATTCTAAGGAGATGGGAGTAGAGTCTGAAAGATAGATATCTTGGCCACCTCTCCCACATTGAGTGCGTGTTGGGTACAGTAATCTTGAATCCTATGGTAATCCAGGGGCTCATACCTAGAGAAACTCACCCCACTCCTAGATGCCGTGAGAGTAATGACAAAGACCCCTATCACTGGGGCTCACTCTGAGGTAGGGAGGGGAAGATAAACGAAGCTCATTTTTGGTTGGAATTTCTGAAATGTTGACATCTTCTAGAAAAAGAAGAGTCTATGTTTCAGCAGTGACCATGGAACGCAGATTGTTTTAGAAACAAACCCTCATTGCTTGGGAAGGACGCAGGTAAGTATGACTTCTGGGAAGGAGTGTGGGAGAATAAAACTTGGGGAATGTCTTGACCTCTAATATCAGGGTGGGCAGGCCTTGATTTGTATACTCACTCCGGCCACCCCTCAAAGGTAGAGACGGTAAAGAGGGCCATCATGGCCGCCAGAACATTGTCAAAGTCAAACTTGCTGTTCTCCCAGCTGCGGGGTTGGATGATGGGGTGGTCGACCTCCCCGTCCTTGTATGTGATGTAGTTACCCCTGAGAAAGAAGGAAGAGTTAATTCTTGGGTCTCTCATTTCCCTTCACACCTGACCCACCAATGACTCCTGGCTTGCTGGGTGGGATGAGACTGGCCAGGCTTAAACCCCACAGTGCTAGCTATTGGAAAGAACGTGAGAGGGTAGACCTTTCAAGAATAGATAATCTTACATGTCATGTCAATGTGATCAAATTACCCATGGGTCAAAGTTCAGCTGTCAGTGCCATCTCAGAAAGAATGGGCTGTCCCTCCTCTCAGGCCAAGTCACCAACCTCCCAGAGTTCACTAGCTTTGGCACTGGCTGCCCTCCTGCTTGTACTCACTTGCATTCCGCCTCAGTCTGTTTGGAACTATCTGAGCAGGTGTAGAGCTTTCCCTGGAAGGCAGAAGAACAAAGTGATTGGAGATATTCATTAATCAATGAATCAGTCAAAAAATGGTTAGTGATCATCTCTATAGCCCAGCACTATGCTAGGGACTTGGGATGAAAAGTGCAAGGAGAGCAGAATTGAATTGGGAAGATGGATTTGCATATACAAAGCAGGCAGTGAATAAAGATGCTCAGTGTTGCAAGTACCACTGAAAAAAAAAAAAAAAAAAAAAAAAAGGAACTCTACTCCATGAAAGCTAGACTCTTTCAAAAAAAAAAAAAAAAAAAAAAAAAAGAACAGGGTTTGGAGGGACAAATTAGATGGGAGGAAATCAGGGGAATTTATATGGTCGGTGGGAGAGGGCAGGGGGAAGGATGCTTCAGATAGGAGAAGAGCAAAAATAAAAGGATTAAGGCAGAAAGAGCAGAGACCATGGACACCGGCCTCCCCATAGCTGAGGGGTCTTGTCTGGATGCAGTGAGAGAGAACCTGGGTGGATGCAGGGTTCTGAAAGCTAGGTGAAGAAGGGTGGACTGGATGCTCTTGGTAACAGGGGACCCTTGTGGGTTTTCAGCAGGTGACTGACATGAGGTTTCAGAGGATAAGAGGCCCTCTCCCTTTCTTGCTAGAAGGATGGGCAGGCACTGCAAGGGCAGGCTGCGCCGTGAGGGCGAGGGGTCCTTGGCCTGGTGGAGAGCGCCTCCTTCCAGGCTCTTCCTCTTCCCCTGGGGGACGCTGAGAGGAGGGTGGCTGGAGGTTGCACTCATCCCAAGTCCGACCCAGGCCGCTGTCCTCTTTTGGTTGTGTCTGCCAGCTCTGTTTCTCAGGAATACTGAGAGGAGGGGAAGGAAGCCGGGGCACAGATCAGAGTCAAGATGTTACCTTGAAAAGCTGGACCCCGATGCAGGCGAACATGAACTGAAGCAGCGTGGTGACAATCACGATGTTCCCGATGGTCCGGATGGCAACAAACACGCACTGAACCACGTGCTGCAGTGGGAAGAGAAGGCAGGGGAAGGGATGGGGTTCTGGAAGTGCCTGCAGCCTGAGCTTCCTTCAGCCAAGCCATGAGCCTCTCCGAGGAGGCTAAATGGGCAGCCCCTTTGCCAAAGGGGGAAAGTCAGACTCAAACAGGCAAAGCACCTTCCCAGGTTCACATGGCGATGGAATCCAATGGAACCCAAAGTCCCCTGTTGGGCTCTAGGTGACTCTAGGGACAAAAGCCCTGCTAGATTCCCATTTTATAGGGGTAGGAATATGGGGACCTCATCATTATGTAGGGCCCTGGGTTTGTGTGTGCATCTCCTTTTTGTGAAAGTTTTGCTTAGAAGTTCTGATTTTGAATGGCCGCCTGTCCTTGTTCTATTCTCCCTGAAGTGGGACTGGTGGTACAGGCAGGACAGTCCAGGCTCCCACACAGCAGCCACTTGCTCTGGCTATTTCTCCGCCCTCCAGCCTACCGCCCCCCCCCCCGCCCCATCCCCTTGTTTAACTTCTGCCAACCCCCAGCCAGGTAGATGCTTGCTGGGCTGCTGGCTACCCCCCAGACCCATGCTTCTCACCTTTAGCCCCTTGGCCCTGTTGATGGCTCTCAGGGGCCTGAGGACACGCAGGACTCGTAAGATCTTCACCACGTTGATTGCGCTGGACCTGGGAGAGGGAAACAGGGCAGGCGAGTAAGCTCCTCTTTTGGTGGGGCAGGAAATAAGGTGGTGAGGGGGTGTGTTGACAGGCTGACCCCAGGCCAACTTGAGAAAGTGTAAAGTCTGTTTTGGGGGATTTTTCTCATCCCGGGACCATTCTCTACTCCCACCTCCCACCCCCTAGAAGAGCCTAGAACTTGCCTGGGACTTGACTCTGGGACTTCCTGTTGGTGTGTAAATAATATGAAAAGCAATTTACCACGAGTCATTAGCACTATAATGTACTACTCAGGGGAGCTTTAGACAAGAAAAAAGAAACCCCAGCTCAGCCACTTAACAGCCAATTCACTGAGGATAAATTTCCTAACTTTTCTGAACCCTAGTTTTTCATCTGTAAAGTGGGCCTCATAAGGTTGTTGCAGGGATTAAATGAAGAAATGTATCTGTATCATCTAGCAGTGTGCTTCGCACATATTATGAACAATAAACGGTAACTTTATTAGATGGTGGAGATTCAGGCCTTGTTGGCTGGAGGTGATGGGCAGGGGATCCTGGATCTCCAAACATTTGTCCTAGGTAGTTGCCCATTACGTGTGTATATGAAACCCACTGGTTCATAGCACACTCAGAACTTGAAAGAATGGATTCTACACAGCAGGTCCTGCATACCTGGATGCTAGGGCCTGGCCAGGATCTCTGGGAGCTTCAGGCTTTTTCTGTTCCCCAGTGGAAATGAGGCACCAGGGTGCAGTTCTCCCCAGAAACCCCTCAGCAGGAAGCCTACATGGTTTCTGGAGTTATTCATCAACCCAACCCAGGTAGGGTCTATCCCAACCCTCACACACTACCCTGACTGAGATATCCTCTCAAACTTTCAGAGAGCTTGTACCCACCTTGGGACCTAAAACAATGTATGACACCTCAGACAGGGCTGATTTCATTCTACATGAGGTCAGGATAATGTGCTCAAGAGGGAGCTGGTAGAAAGATCGAATTTCTCTGGTTCATGGCTCTTTTATCCCAAAGGATTTAAAGGTCATTCCTAGTTATCCCAGTGTCTCAGGGAGGGAGTCTGTTTGCACTGAATGGCAATGGAAGGGATTTTAAGATCAGGCGGGGGAAAACACAGACAAGGTGGGGGGTGTTTCTTGGTTCCAGGTTAAATAGTAGTTTAGTGGTAGTGTTGGGATTAGAATCTAGACCTGTAGGCTCCTAGGCAGACAGCTGGGATAATACAACTGATGATCACAGAAAAGATCTCACTCCTCATGCCCCCATGTCCACTCTTTCTAGGTTTACCATGAAAACACCCTTGGGAAGGGAGACCCAGGACCATTTTTCCTCTGCAATTGGTGTGACCTTGGGCAAGTCTCATGCCCTGAACCTCAGTTTTCCTATCTATAAAATGGTGGTAACAGCCCCTGCCCTGCCTGCCTCATAGGTTTTTTTGTGAGGACCATAGAAGATTGTGCATGTGAAAGTGCTTTGAGGTGGAAGGGCAGGGTTAACATTAGCAGCAGATAGAACTTGGGAAACACTAGTAAGCAGATCCTGTTAATTGAGCAAACTGGCAAACTTGGTTGTACACTGGAGTCACCCGAGAGCTTTTAAAACTCCTAAAGCCCAGGCCTGTACCCCAGACCAATTAAATAAAAACTTGGGGAGAGGGATACAGGTAAATGTCTTTCTTGAAACTACTCAGGTGATTCCACTATGAAGCCAAGATTGAGAATCGGTAATTCCCCTCTCTCTCTTTCCCCCACCCACCTTCTTCTCATCAGGTTCTTTGGAGAGAGAAAGGGAGGGAAGATGGACAGGAAGATCAGAGCTGGTCACGGCAATGGCAGGCCCTTGGAGCTGAGGGTAGCCAAGGGCACTGGGCACGTGGTGGAGGAGGCAGGAAGGCCCTGGAGACATTCCTCTCGTTATAACTGGGCCCGGCCCTGCCTGTCATGGCAAGATCCAGATATTTAAACATCTTCTTGCTGGATCGACGTACCCCCAAGTGTCACACCATTAAGGACGTGTACAAAAAGCCATCATGTTTTATAAGGCAGGGGCCCCACCCTGTTCCTGTCACAGTCATACCGGTGGCCATGCAGGAATGCCCTCCAGAGTCTTGGTCATCCTCTCTGACACCCATTTCCACTTGTGTGCCCCCACAGGCCAAGGGAGTCCTACTCACTGGATGCCAAAGGAAATGAGGGACACGCTGACCACCAGCAGGTCCAAGATGTTGAAGTAGTTTCGGCAAAAAGAGCCCTTGTGTAGGAAAGCCCCATAAGCAGTCATCTGCAGGGAGGCACAGAGAAACACGAGCGTGAGTGGTCCCTGCCCAAGCTCCAGAGACCCCCTCATGCCTCCCTCTCCTCCCACGGCATCCCTTGGGCGGGGCAAGCTGAAGAGCAGTGAGAGGACCGGGGGCAGGCAGGACTGCGGAAGGAGAGGCACGACCAAGGACAGCGTTCTGCAACCATTTATACAACCACCACGCAGTCCCCAGCTCTGGATGGTTAAGTGGCGCGTTCTACCTACTAGACCACACCAGACTCTTCCATCCTATATTTGGAGCCTTTTCAGATTGGGCACTGCCATCCCTCTCTCATTTTCCACCACTGTTCCTCATCACATGTCTGTGGCTCTGGCCCTGAGGGGCTCTTTGCTGATACTGCCCAGTCCAGTTTTCACTTGGATGCAAAATTGCCAACCTCCTGTTCAAATTCTATCAACCCCCAGGGCCAGCTTCAGACATTAAGCATCTGGGGAAAGATGGGGCATGCCCAGTGGGGTGACCAACTGTCCTGGTTTTCCCAGGATTTTCCTGATTTAGCACTGGAAGTCCTGTGTCCCACCCAGGCAATTCTTCAGGCTCAGGCAAACTGGGATAGCTGGTCACCCCAGTGCCCAGTGAGATGTTTTATCAATAACTTTGGCAATTAGCATCCTTCCACTTCCTAAGCTTAATTAGTGTTTATGATCTATGCCACATATCCTAAACTCAGTTCTATTATCTTGCTTCTAGACTGATATTCTTTGAGGCCAGAGCTGTGTGTTCAGAGGGACAATGTGGTACCATGGTTAAGAGCATAGGCTCTGGAGCCAGGATGCCTGAGTTTGAATCCTAACCCTGTCATATTTTATTTGTATGGCCTGGAACAAGTTACTTAACTTCTCTGTGTCTCAGTTTCCTCTTCTGAGAAATGAGGGTCATGATAATATCTCCCCTATAGGGTTGTAGGCATCGAATGAGTTATTACAGGTAAAACACTTACACTACCCTGCAAATACTAAGCTTCATGTAAGTGTTAGCTGTCACTATAGAGAACTGAACTTAGGGTCAGATAGATTGGATTTGAATTCTGGATTCTTCCTATATAAGGATGTCCAGTTTCCTCATCTACAAAGTGGGCATACTATTCCCTGTCTTTGTGAGGCACACACAGAAAGACAACGTGAAGGCCCTTTGAAGACTAAAATGGGAGCACCTGGGATGGTGATTATTTTTACAGGACTTGGCTATTATTACCTCTCTCTGAGCTCAGTCTAAAGCCACTGTAGACACTCAAACAGCCTTTCCAATTCTGTTAACTTGAATTAAGAGATAACAGATTTCCAGGTTAAGGGTTGTGAAAGGCCATGGGCAGTGAAGCATCAGCCAAAGGGAACAATTTGGAGCTGTTGGCTGAGAGACTGAGAGTGGCTCCCTGGTCATCTGGGGTCCAGTTTATCTCTTTGGAATCAGAGCATGCCCAGGGCAGCATGTCCGCAGAGTAATTCAAAAGCAAACACAGGGGAAACTGGCAAAAATAGCTCTCGCAACCTAATTCTTTCCATTTATCTCTTGCTGCAGGGGGTCGCAGGGGATTGAGACACCTGTGTCCTGCAACAGTTTCTAGAAGTGGGTATATTATATAAAAGGCTGCAGGGGAATATAGTTGGAGATTTCTCTTGAAGGCCCGCCATCTGGAGGGGCTTGCTGTCCTGTATCTGGTGAAGATCTAGGACCCCAGAGATTAGACTTGGGTGGCTCCTACAGTTCACTTAACCAAAGAACCCCTGCGCCTGTAGAAGGCCAAGCACCTTCCCCAGCCATCCCACTTTCAGTCTCAGGAAAGGCGCTGAGTCTGACCCTATCTCACTCCTGGTTTGGACACTGTGAGGACACTATGGAGCACCACAGAGCCCTCCACAGCAGGAGCACTCCTTGAATAGGTGCACCAGTGGGGCTCACTCTGCTAATGTTTGTCCTTTGACTTTGGGATCCTATTTGTCAGGGGACCCAGAATGAGACCAGCACTCCAGAAAGTGCGTGTGTGTGTGTGTGGGGGGGCACACATGCCCAGGCAGGGCTAGAGGAAGAGTGGTCAGGGGAGAAAGGGCAAGTGGATACTGAAAAATTGGAGCATTTATTTGAAAATTATCCTAGGCATTTAAGACAACAGAAGAGGCCAGGTTCAGGTACCCAGTGCAAAGTGTCCTTCCTTTACCCCGTTTGGCTGATGGCCACCCATTCATTTCCTGCTTCCCAAAAGTTCTAAGCCATTGCGTAAGAAAGCCTATTGCTGGGGTATTTTCAGGCTGAGGGAAGAAAAAAGGTGGGCATGAGATCACTGACTCTCTGAGCTGGCAGGGCAGGAAAACCCCGCTGTCCAGCCACAGGTGGCCACTGCCTCCCCAGGCAGCCCTTCTAGTTACTAGATGCATCTTGTAACTGTACCCACTGGGCCTGGTTCACCTCCTCCCTCCTCTAAGTGACAGTCCTTTGCAGTATGCAGGCCTACTGTCATGGCCTACAAGCCCTTTCTTTTTAAGGCCAAACGTCCCCAAGTCTTTCAACTGTTCTTGAAACTAAATGCCCCTTGGAGGATGGGACCATCATTGTCTGTGCGATGGCAGGAAGCTGAGCCTTCGGGAAAGATAGAGGGGCCCAGGGGAAGGAGATGCAGGGAAGTGGAGTGGGGACTGGGGTTTTTATTTAGAAGCACACTGAGCCATAAAGGGAGTAGAAGAGGGAGAGGGTGAAGAGAGGGAAGGCTCTTGCCATGACAATGCTGGCAAAGAGACCTTTCACTTCTGCTCATGGCAACCTTGAAGGAAAGACAGCACCACTGAAATCCACATGGGAAGCTCTGTGGAGCAGTTCTGAGAACTGGGACTCAGAGCTTTTCTTGTCCTGGGAAAGAGGTTTGGGGATTTGAGTGCTTCCCTGAGTCTGAAGTCCAGGATAACTCAGCTCACCATGGAAAGGGGTTTTACAGAGTATATCTTCATGTAGTCGGGCAGCTCTTGGCTCCCTCTCCCACTGCCAGGAATCAGGACCTGGTCAGATCCACTGCCCTTGAGCAGAAGAGAAAACCCAGGGAACACCCTTGGTCACTGGAACCAGGGACAGAAATTGGGGGTCTGGACAGCTCAGCTTTCTGGGGATAAAGACACAAGAGAGGCACCCCAAACTGCTCCACTCAACTTCTGTCTGGAAGTGACAGAACTGTCACATACATTAAAGGGTTGGGACTTGACTTGGGAGTTGCATTAAGAAAGGAAGGGTCTGTCTGCCGGCTGGCTGTGGTACACGGTCAAGCATGGATAGTGGCTTGCATCAGCCCCATGAAGGGGGAAAAGGGAGCTTGGACTCCTTGAAAGGAGTCCTAGGTGAGTCTCCCAGGAAGAAGACACCAAGCTGAGGCATATGCTTTAGAGCATATAGCCCTTCTGTTCAGGGTAATGGTAAAATCCATCCTGTTGTTCTGAGAAGAGAGCAAGTGCTGAAATGCACTTTTCCTGCGTTTCAGAAATCACACCCTGAGTCTCAGGTGGAGTGGCTTGGCGATGCATTGTTTTAGAGGTTGAGAACTATGCTGGAAAAACATAGAAATCATAATAAAATAAATATGAATATTAATTATAAATTAATATAAGTAATAAAACAAAACTTAGAAAACAATCTCTCTCATCCCAATGCTTTCAGGAGTGGGCTCCGCTGATTGGGTAATTCTGTAGCAGTTCCTCCATCAGGGCCACCAGCACCTGGCGCTACCAGCCCCAGGTGGGGCCAGGCCTGTGTGCTCTCAGGACCGGGGTTTGGGACCTGGGTGCTCCAGCTTCTTTCAGCTCACTCCCCTGTGCTTAGCTCTCCAGTATGATTCTCCCTCCTCCACACCTAGGGCAAGGGGCATCATAACAAAGCTTTTCGGCAGGAAACCGAGGATTCAGAAGTAATCTACAGTCATCTGTTGAAAGCCCTCATTGGAAGGCTGGTCCCAAATCTTGCATTAGGCCCATGATTACTATCACGCAGGCCCAACTCCAGCCTAGCCCTGGTGCCTGCCCCTAGTACTGAGGAAGGTGTTGAGGAAGGTGTTGACAGTGGCTGTCCAAAGGAGGTCGACCAAGTGGCTTTCCATGCCCCATGAGTGTTTCCACTCTTGGAGTTTGTGCAGCATCTCTTCCGGGCAGGAGGAGGGAAGGGAGCTCTGAGCAGGGGTCAGTCATCAATTACCCAGAGATGGGGTATGAGGGTGTGTGTGTGGCGGGGGGGGGGGCACTGCGGACTGGCACAGTGCCAGAGCTGATAACAGGACAGCATCGGTGTTGACACTGTGAGCCACATGCCCCTTCCAGACTGAGAGGAAGCACAGCTGGGCGGGGCGGGGGGGGGCGGTGGTTCTTCAGGCTTCTGAGCCAGAGCAAAGCGCATAGCATAGAGTGAGGGGCACTAATTCTTCCAATCTCAGGCTTGAGAGTAAAAAAGAGTGAGTGAAGGAAACGAGAGAAAAGAGACAGGCAGACAGAGCAGAGATAGAGAAAGAGACAGAGAGTGCATTGCTCAGATTGCATTACCTTAAGGATAATTTCTAATGTAAAGATACTAGTGAAGACATAGTCTGCATTGCCTAGGATCTGAAAAATAAGCACAATTGGATTAGTGGCTCTGAGAGTGAACTCGACACCAACAGAAGCATGTGTGTTAGCAACAGACAGCAGCAGAGAGCTAATGCCAGCTCCTGGAGGAAGGGAAGAGGAGAGAGGGGTTGGGACTTTACCTTCAGAGCAATTTCAATGGTGAAAATGGTAGTGAAAACAATGTCAAAATAAAACAGAATCTGCAAAACAAAAAGAAACAGGGTGGGGATGGGGTGGGAAGGGAGAGAAGCAGGCTGGAAGGAGAGGTCAGCTCCAGAACCACACTACATGTCACCTGAGATTTTCCACTTGGAGACAGATGGAAGCAAGTTAGGAGATGAGTAGCATATACACAGCATTGGATCCTGAAGTGGGGTTGGCCTCAGGCAGCTTAGTGGCTCCAGATGAAGTCCCCAGACATGTGAGGGGGGCTTCCAAGGCAGGACTCAGCGGGTCCTGGGTCTGGGCAGCATTTGGTTGGATGTTTTTCTCATTAATCCAATTTACTTACAAACCCCAATCAGACCACTGGGATGCGTGTCAAAAGGACAGAGTGGGGTTTGCTTTTTATTGCAGGAAAATGCAAAATGCTTAACTCACATTGGTGTGACTCAGCTAGCTTCTCATGTTGGTGGAAATCTTGGTGTTGTGTTCTTTGGGGCATGGGAGGGAGTATCCTCCAGGTGAGGACTGCCCATGGTGAACTGCTACGTGAACTGCTACACGTCCCAAGCTTGGGACGGGCTACATGGTTTCACCCTCTATTATATCTCAGGTGATGGATCAGAGCTAGGGCCAACACCTTTCTAGGAAAACTCTGGACCAAGCAGGCTGCAGGACCACCAAATGGTTTGGCATGGGTATGGCTTTAGGTTGGTGGACTCCTCTCTTCATGCCTACCTGGTTGGGATTTGACAAAGTTTTGAGGCTTCGAGATATAACAATTCTTACTCTAGCCTTTGATGTTGTTCACCAGAGCCTTGGCTGGGTCTCCAAATTTAGTTTTCAACTCTACACAAGGTCACTGAAGCTCTCCTTTATATAAGGTCAGCCTCACCACTGACACCTGTTTGACAATGCTCCCCTCATCTCCCCAGTGATTGGGACTGGTCAGAGTTTATTAGGAGCAAGGCAGGAAGTCAGTGGCTATTTTTTCTTTCTTTCTTTCTTTCTTTCTTTCTTTCTTTCTTTCTTTCTTTCTTTCTTTCTTTTTCTTTCTTTCTTTCTTTCTTTCTTTCTTCTTCTTTCTTTCTTTCTTTTTCTTTCTTTCTTCTTTCTTTCTTTCTTTCTTTCTTCTTTCTTTCTTTCTTTCTTCTTCTTCTCTCTCTCTCTTTCTTTTTTTTCTTCTTCTAAGTATGCAAGGAACCAGAGCCTTCAGGGATACATCCACAGGGCAATGAGAGTCCTGAACTTTGCCAATCAGGCCAGCCTGAAGCATTTGGGTACATGTTCTCTTATTTGTTTCTGATGGTTTCTACCAAAACCCTAATCTCTTAAAGAAAGTTTATTGTGCATCTGATTACAATATTTGGAATTGGGCTCCTGATTGAGGGCCCAGTCCCATTCCCGGGAGGAAGGGGTGCAGGGGACAAAAGGGAATGCATACATGGTTCCTGAAGGAGGTGTGCTGGACGGGGTCCTCAGCTGCCAGGGAAATGCTGCTGAGCAGAATGAAGAAGAGGATCAGGTTGGTGAAGATCGTGTCATTGACGATGCGGTGACACTGGAGGCGAAATCTGTGTGGGGAGGAGAGAAGGACAGAAGCACGTCAGGGAGGCAAGGGAAGCAGCTCCCGGGTCCCTGGAGCTCAACACTCTTTCACTCAACTTGTGAAAGGTGCTTGTTCGTTTGGGGGTGGGCTCTTCATCTGAGGTCTTATGGCTGCTGGGTAATGACAACCACATCCCACCCCACCCCCCTCTGTGCCCCCACTGTGAGGCACATCTGCACAGAATTTTGCACTTTCACAGGCAGTTAGCTTTTGACATTTTGGAGGGTTATAACTGAGACCTTTGGGAATCCCCAAATTTTCATATACTTCTGTGACATTAACAGCTGGCTCTTTGGGGGGGACTTCTTTTTCCCATCATTAAAAAATCATTTTATAAGATCTTCATATATTTATGTATAGGGAATGACAGAGCTACCCAGAGACGTCGATGGTGAGAGGCCAGCTCAGCTTACACTCTGGCTAGGCAATTTGCTCCTGTGTAAGAGCTTCAAGGCATGCAATTAAATTCCACACCTCAGCATAATTACAAGGGACTACATGCATGGACCTCTGGGTACTCATTGACAGTGTCACAAATGCTAGATCCTTGAATGCCAAGTGTGTCTTATATAGTATCTCATACTGCCAGCCCAGGAATGGGATATGGGTGTTAGTATCTTCATTTTATAGATAAAAACACTGAAACCTGAGAAGGAGAGCCTGGCCCAGAAAGACAGCTTGTAAAGTGTTTTGTGTGCTTGGTGGGGCGGGGGGTGGGGTGGGGGGGGGGGGGTTGGGGTGGGGGGTGGTTAGGGCTTGAATCCAGTTTCAGACTTCTGCTCGCAGCATTGTGATTGACTAAATGCTCTGAGAGACCCTAGTGCTGCAGAAGCAGCAAATCCTGGAAAGGACAAACCCTTTGAGACAATTTTGGCTTCATTAGAGTTAACAGGTCTGCAATGATTATCCCTTTCAAACAAATAAACAAACCCACTGAGCCAGGGTCTGTGTGATAGGTAGCCAGGAAGGGCAGAGTTGCCTGAGGATAGACGCCAGTGGTAGCCCTGCTATCAGGAAACTGCATTTCAAGCCAGACTCGAGGTGGGGCACAGAAGCTTGGGACTCTCAGGCTGAGCCAACATGCTTAAGAAGCATCTGGAAGAAAGCTTCCCAATCTTAATTTAGGTCCACAGGAATCTCACCAACTAAGATAATGTACTGAGGTCATAATCAAAGATTAAGCACACAAGACGATGAGCTGCTAAGATGGGAAATCAGAAGAAACTACAAACAAGTGATTTAGAACCCCCTCCCAAAGACTGTGTATACTGGACATATAAGATAGAGAATGTAGAACAACTATATTTTGAATATTTAACAGAATAAAGGACTTGAGCACAAAGATGATGAATCAACAAGGGAAGTATTAGATATAGACAGATGGATCTGGAAAATCAATTAGCAAATGGAATTGTTTGAAATGTAAAAAGAATTAAGTTGATTTAAAAACTGGTTTAAACAGTAACATAGACAAAGTTGAAAAGAGAATGAAGAAATTGGAAGCTATATCTGAAGAAACTACCCTGAATATGAAGAGAGATAAAGAGGTGAAAGATTTGCAAGACACAGTAAGAGATAGGAGGACAGAATGAGAAGGTCTAACCTATGTCTAACTGGAGTGCCAGACGGAAAGAATAGAGAGAAAGAGATTATGGCTGCAACTTTTCAAGAATTAGAAATTCTTATTCTAATTTTTAATGTTGTTCAAGAACTGGAGAAAAATATAAATCCATAACATCCCAAGCAGGATAAATGGAAAGAAATCCATATCTAGATACATGGTAGTAAATCTAAACAATATCAAGGCCACAGAAGATATTCAGAGCAGCTAGAGATAAAAGGCAGATTACCTACAAAGGTAGGTAGCTACCTACAAATGTAGGAATGATACACTATAATAATATGTTTAACACACTGTGAGACAAATTCTATCGACCTAAAATTGTATACATAGCAAAACTATTTTCCAAGAACAAGAAATGAAAACAGAGATAAACAGAGGCCAAATAACTTTACCATAAAGGAACACTAAGGGCTTCTAAAAAATGTGCTTAGGAAGAAAGAAAATGATTGCAGAAGGAGGGACTGAGATGTATGAAAAAAAGGTGAACAAGTAAAATGGCAAGTTGTATGTACATCCAAATCTACATTGTCTATAGAATAATAATGATAATGATGATAATGTCTAACTTGTTAAGTTAAAAATAGGACTAAAAATACTAAGCAACAACATATAAGTTAGGAGGGCTGAGAGGAGTTAAAGTAGCATAAGTTCCTTCTATTTTGCAGGAGGAGGTCTAGGATACTGCTTAACTTTAGACTTCGTTAAGTTAAATAGACTTAGTAAATTACCAAAGGTAATCACCAAAAGACAAGAAATAGAGTTTACATGTGTCAAAAAAATGGAGGGAAAAACAGACACAGGTCTTCTGATTTGGAATCCTGGGTACTGTTTACACAAGTTATGGGGGGTTGGCAGAGTCCCAGGCTCCACTAGAGGTCGGAGGATGCTGGCAGCTGCTGCACATGTGGCTTGGAGAGAGCAGAGTCCCACCTTCCCCACCATTCTTGCACACCTGTTGTTGGGGCTGAAGATGAAAAACGCACTGGCTTCTGGCATGGGCACTGCCTTTTCCTTAAGGTGCAGCTCAGAGAGTGGTCGTGGGCGGGGGCCCACAGGCATCTCAGGCTCCTCCTCATCCTCTTCTCCTGTAAGAAAAAAACCACCATTCTAAATAACTCCACTACTCCCACGAGGTTTTACCGCTATGCTGAAAAAAATCAGATACCTTCCTACTGCCCAGAATCAAGACATCATTTGTGTCTCTGAAAATGAGAGGTATCAACTAAGACACTCAGCTCTCTCCCTGTGAGTGTTGGAATCTTTGTTAGAGAGACTCTTCTGGCAGCACATGACAAGGGGGGTTGTAAGTAGGGTGACTAGTTCAATCCCAGTTTGCCAAGGACTGTCCTGGTTTCTAAACTGAGATTCCCATATCCCAGGAGGCTCCTCAGTCGCATGTGGATTCGGATGGTTGGTTATCCTAGTTGTAAGGCCCTAGGAAAGGTGATCAGGTAAGACTAGGGCATTGCCAGGTGTCTTTTCCATCTAGGCTGCAGGTAGGGGCATGGGTACGGCTCAGTTGACTTGCAAGCAACCCCATCCTTGAAGGTTCTAGGAGTTTAAAATTAACACTCCCATTCCTGAAAAATACCAAAAACTCATGTGCTGTAGGGATAAAAGGGCAATGATGCTGACCACAACAAGCACTTCATTCAAAAGTCTAGACATTAGCACCAGTTAAAGAAGCCCCTTTGTTCTCCAGGCTAGTGGCCACATTCACTGTGGACCAAAAGGAAGTGGCTTACTTTGCTTGCGAGGTCGTTGCCCATGGTAGGAAACTACTACATATCCTGTTCTGATCAAATGCATTTAAAAACGTTTAGAAGGGAAATGGGAGTAAGAGCATGGGTTCTCCAGCCAATGCCTTGGCTCTGTTTCTCTTTGGCATTTAGTCTCTCTGTGTCTCAGTTTCCCCATTTGTAAATGGGATAATAGTACATACCTACCGCAGAGTGGCGCCTGGTACATGGCAAGTGCTGTATAAACGTTAGCTGTTGTTACGATCTCTACCCACAGGAAAGACTCATAGCCTGTAAGGTAGTGCTTAACATCTTTCTCAGTCTGACCTCTGCTTGCTCTTATCCCCTGACAGACTTTCCACTCACATCAGCCTGTTTTCTGAAGGCTCATGGTAGTGGGTTGAATCACGTCCCCCACAAACTCATGCCTAGCCAGAACCTCAGAATGTGACCTTACTCTGGAAACAGTGTCTTTGCAGATGTAGAGTCATGATGAAGTCATATTGGAGTAGGGTGGGCCCTAAATCCAAGGACCGCTGTCCTTATAAGGAGACACAGAGACACACATGTGAAGACAGAGGCCGACGGGAGTGATGAGGCTGACAGGCAAGGAGCGCCAAGGACAGCTGGCCATCAGCAGAGACAGGGAAGAGGCGAGAGAGGATGCCCCCTGGAGCCTTGAGAGGGAGGATGGTCCTGCCAACACCTGAGTTCAGACTTGGAGGCTCCAGAACCATGAGAAAATAAATGTTTGCTGTTTTAAGCCACCAAGTTCATGGTTATTTGTTATGAGAGCCCCAGGAAATGAATACACTTGCCATGTGCTTTCTCCTTTCCTTTCCTCACTCTGTCTCCTTATTTGAACTGCTCTCATCTCCCTCTCTGCAGAGCTAGAAGGACTCCCATGTAAGACAGTATCATTCACATGGCTCTCATGGGTACCTGGGCTCCCCGAATTACCTTCCTGTGATTCCAGAGCCCTGTCGGCCTCCTGCATTCACTTGGCACCTAGGACAAAATAGCTCAAATGCCTGATTTTACATGTATCTATCTGTTCCATCTCTGAGAGAAACACTATGGAGAGAGACACTATGCCCAGGACGTAGTCGCCCTTAGTTTTTGATGATGATTACACTTTCACACTAACATTTGCTTTATAAGGAAGAAGACTTTGCAAAAGAAGGTCAGGTGGAGACTCAGCTGTTGGAAAGATAGTTATGGGAAGTTTACCTTATGGACCAGCCATGTCTCTGCATGCTCTCTCTTCTTCTGGTTAAAATGAAGCCAGGTGGTGCAGGGGAAAAAAAATGCTTGGCACAGAAGGTGGTTCTTTATCAAGCAAGAAGCATTTAGGGGCCCAAGGTTTTTTTGGAGGACCAGCAGAATATAGGCATAAATCAGTTTTTTTTCCCCCCTGGAGTAATTAGAGCTGACCAGCAAAGCAATTAATATTTTTAGCTTTTTTTTGCTGTGAGATGAAAAATTGTGTACAGGCCAAGGGTTGGGGCCTTTTAACCAAACCTTGGTAGGTAGAAGAAAGGCAGAGTCTCCTAGTAAAAAAAAATAAAACTGGAGTTGGCCTAATTGAAATCTTTACAAATGAAATCTCACTGAGAAGGCTCTTAAATTCCTGCCCAACTTGTTTGTATTCTTTTCAGTTTTGCTCTAAATGAGCCAACACTTTCTTATTCATGATAATTTGGTAATAGGTAATTTAATGCTTACTTTAATCATTCGTGTTTATAGAAAAACATATTTCCTAGCTTTGTGGTTTTCCGAGTTCCTGGCGAAGAGTTTTTCATGCTCTTTCATCTGCAATAGGCTGCCTTGCTGTTTTGAAGCTCTACCCTGATTTCCATTGCTAGGGAGAAGCAAGTCAGTCGGTTCAGACACACAGCAGCTGAATTCCAGGCATAATGTTTAAGAGGAAACCACTTCTAAAGGACAAACCCAAATTTGTAAAGGGCCAGAAATCTGACAGCTGTGATGCTTTGCATGTATTATGGATAAGGAGCGAGGTTGGCAGAGTAGGAAAAGTCAGGTAAAGTTCTGTTTATGGGGTTGGCAACTGAACTACCTACACTTCCGCTCCCAGATGCCAGTGGACTCCCTTGGGGATCTTTATTTTCTCATCTCCATTCTTGGAGGTGTGGAGAAGCACACTGTGGACTTGCTTGCCAGATGGCAGGTGCCAGTGCTCAAAGGTAAAACTCCTGGGTAGCTGAATGCCCGACACTTGGTCCTCGGTGATACTTGCCCCCACCCCATTTGATACTCATTTTCACCTCTGTGATTTTGCTCATGGCCAATTCAGAAAAAAATATTATTTCTAACATCTAGTGCCTACAGTGTACTGAACACAAAGCTGTGGTTCTTGCCCTCAAGGTCCTTACAGTTTTTAGTGTGACCCCAGAGTTCACTGGCATGATTGGCAAGGCCACACCCCCTGGAAGCGAGCTGTGTGGGTGGCGTCCGGAGACAGAAGGCTGAGGATGCACCTGCTGCTGCATCGGGCATGTTCTCTGCTGGCTCAGCTCCAAAACCTCATCTCCTCCCATTGCTCATTTTCTCTCTCTGACTTCTAGGCCACTAGCAAATCCTGCAAAATGCACCCCAAGTTACGCCACTTCTCCATATCTCCAGCATCACTGTTCTGGCCCAAGCGGCCACCGCCTCTCATGGGACCACTACTCACGTCCTCACTGCCTCCAGTTTTACTCTTGACCATTTACTGCCCTGTTTTCATACAGCACAGTTTGCTAAAGGTAATTCTGACACCAGATCTTATCTTCCTCTGCCTGAGAACCTCGGGTGAGTCTTCAACTATCTGAACCTCTCAGGTGGCCTCAGAGGCCCTGCCCCACTGGCTCCTGCCTAGTCCCTGTCTCACCTACTACCTTTCCCCTTCGTTCTCTTTCCTCCAAGCACATTGGCCTCTTCGGATTCCTCCACAGACCAGTCTGCCCAAGAGATTCTGCATTTGCTAGCTCTCCATCTAGAAAGCTTTTTCCTCTGATTTCCATACATCTAGTTCCTCTGCCTCATTCAGGTTTCAGCCCGAATGCCACCTCCTTCAAGAGGCCTTCACCGACCACACAGCCAAAGCAGCCCCACGCCACTGAGGAACTCGCTCACATAGTCCTTGGCTTCATTTATCTCCTTGCTGTTCACTGCTACCTGATGTTACCTTTTCAGTTGGCCTCTTTTCTTGCTCACTGTCTGTCTCCCACTGAAATGTAAGCTCCAGGAGAACAGTGGCCTTGCCTGTCTTGCCTACAGGTGTATCCCTGGGGCCTGCCACAGTACCTGGCACACAATAGGTGTTTCACTAGTAGTTATTTTTTTTTAATTAACATATAATGCATTATTTGTTTCAGAGGTACAGGTCTGTGATTCATCAGTCTTACACAATTCACAGCGCTCACCATAGCACGTACCCTCCCCAGTGTCCATCACCCAGCCACCCCATCCCTCCCACCCTCATTAGTAGTTATTAAGTGAATGAATATCTCCACGGTTTCTTCCAGCTCCCTGTCTACGACAATAGTATGGTCCTGAAATAACTTCTGTTCTCTCCCACTCCCCAAATGCCAAGCCCAGCCCAGTCTACTCTTCTCCGCGAAGGCTGGCTGTCTCTCCCCCAACTCCCCACCCCATGGCTCTGCTCCTGCTCGAACCCCTTGCAGTAGTTGGAACCTCCCCACAGCACTCAGTGCTGTCCTATGCATTCTCTGGTGTCATTCACTTTCTTTTTCAAGTGTCCTTGTTAATTTTAAGTCCTCAGTGACTCTTACCATCTGTATGTTCCCTCTAATAAATGAATCGATTAAATAAAAGCACAATCTTGGTACCCTTCCTAGGTGAGTAGATATTTCTAAAATTTAGTGTATACTAAGCTGGGAGGCTCCAACCAACTGTTGAGCTTTGGGGATTCAATGGGGAGGGAAGGACTGATATGCCACGGCTGGCCGGTTGGCACTTTGTGCCAATCAGAAAACTGCCCCTCCACTGGGTGTTCCTGTGAGGGCAGAGGCCCTGGCTAGGGGAGCACAGGCTGGAGCTCCGCCCCACTCAGCCGCTTCGGCACACACCTTTGGGTGCAACCTGGACAAGCAAGCACAGCAACCTGGGGCGGGGGTGGAAGGTCACGGGCATAGGGGGAGAGGAGGAAGCCTGAGTGAGAAGTGGGGGCAGGAGGAGGTATGAGAGTATTCTCTGCCCCTACCCCTTCTTTCTCTGGGAGTCTGGCTGTAAGTGGGGCAGGTGCGATGCTCACCAGCGCTGCCTCCCAAGGGGCATCTGTGTGAAGTGGGCACAGCAGAGGCCGGATGCCCAGAGGCTGTAAAGCAGAAGGGGCAGGGTTGGGAGGACAATAGCAGATCAGGTTCCTTGCCTTTTCTGGTTCAGAAAAGAGAGAAGCAGGTGGGAATGAGAGATTGACAAGAACAGAGATAGCAGGCCAAGTGACTCTGGGAGGAATCTTTGGGGACTTCTGCTGCACCTGATACTAGAGTCCAGGAGGTGACCTGCGGAGGCAGGGGAAGGAGAAGCCAGGAAGCAGAGGCTGGTCCCTCGGAGGAAGGTGGAACATGAGGAACCACCAGCTTTAAGAGCATACCACCCTTGGGTGAGAAAATGGAAAGCAGGGACAGTGAACAAATGGGGGGCTGTGGGGGCTGGCCTTGAAGGCCTGAGTGTGGTGGTGGGCTGAGGCAGGACAGCCTCAACTATCTATGGACCAGAGTTCTCAACACAGATGTGTGAGATGCATGGGACCAAGAAAAACCCGGGAAGGGCTGGGTCTGCAGGAAGCTGGAGAAGGGTGATCACACAATGGGGGAAGGGACACTCTAAAAAATCCAAAGAATCCTGACAAATCAGCAGAATGTGGGAAGAGCTTTTCAGTCAAAAAGCAAAACCATTCCAAGAATCCTCAAAGCTGGGTCAACAGAGGGACTTTTCTATAGTGGCCAATATGGTGACAATGTCCTCATTATTTTTTTTCCCCCTGACCTGCTTGTCTTTGATTTCAAAGGGCAACAAAGAAGAGAAAATTTTTTTTTATATTTAGAATGATGAAACTAGAGACTATGGTCATAGGTGTGGCTGCCCCACCGCCAGGTAGAAGGAGCAGGCCTGGGCTATCCGCGCTCTCCCCCCTGTGCTGTGTGCAGCTGGGGTTGGCTCTGCTTGGGGCCCAGGGGGATTCCTTTGATTACTGTCTTTCCTTTTAAACTTTGAAAATATACACACAAGTCAAGGGACTTGTGTGGTGACCCTCCATATCCAGCTTCAACAGGAGCTGCTGGAGTATATTTTAAAGCACCTTCTAAATATTTTAGATTCCAGCCATACACACGTCTACATTTATAAGCTAGAACTATAATAACACCACTGCAGTAACAAAATAAATGGAAACTAATGATTTTAAGTAGTTTTTGTTTAAAATCATTAGTTTCCAGTCCATATTCAATCTCCCCCTGCATATTATCTCCAAAATGTCATGTTAGAGTTAATTTGGTGATTCAGGACCAAGACAGAATTCCCCATTGACTTTGATCAACATGTCTAGTCTTTGAAATCCTGTAAGAATTTCCACCCAGAAGAGATTTCAGGCTTCAGACACCCTTCCTGCTCTTCCCTTGGTCCAATCCCCAGCAAACCAAATCCTCCTTCCCTGGAGGTGGGAGGTGAGTGAGGACGGAATGATGGCCGAGAGCCTGCTTCCCAAGGGAAACAGAAGATGGCTGCCCTGCAGACAAGCCTGCAGAGGACTGGTGCAGGGGAGGCCAAAAGGAAAACCTAGCTTTGCTCATGCATGTAGAAGGTTTTTAGCTACTTAACGTGGTTACCAACTCAAATATAGCTCAACCTCCACAGAGAAGGAAATGCCAGTAAAACAACGGTCGCTTGCTGTGTGCAGCTGATGGCAGGCTTGAAGCTGAGAGGGACGGCAGCAGTTGTAGGGACAGGGAGGCAAGCCCGGGGCTTGTATGGGATGTGGAGCTTCATGAGGCAGAGAAGTGAATTCCGGAGGGAGGCCTGAGGACCTCTGACAGTAAGCCTTCTCAAAGGAGACTGCCTGCCAACTTAGGTATTGGAAGATGAGAAGGCTGAGTTGTGAAGAGTTCTTTTTATAATAAATGAAAGCATTTTACAAAGCAACAGGCGGGACATCCGTGGTGGCAGCTGTCCTTGTACTCAGCACTGCCACCCGAGTAAGGGCAGGACAGAGTCGCGATTTACGATTATCATTAAGCGAGCGTCATGCTGCAACATGCAAATTATATAAGTTAATGATTTTATGGCATAAGATACAATAAAACCTTAAATGTCTATAGAATCCACCTTCCAAAGGGCATAAAAGACTGCTCAAACACAATTTATTTAATGTTATGTTGTTATTATGAGGAAGCCAGGAGCAAAGTTCTCCTCTGGATGATAACTGGTAATGCCTAACTACGGAGAGAGAAGACATTTAGCAGTGCAAGGTACTTGTAGAGGGAACCTGGAAACACCAGTCCCTAATACATAGCTACTTCCATATGGCTTTTGAATCTGGATCTCTACCCACAACCTCCCAATCTCAGGGTTAGGCAGTGGGATTGGTACCTGTATTTTCTGGGTTTGGGTAGGGACTCTTATCCTCATTTTCATTGGGCTGGAGGTCATCCATGTTGATCTAGGCAGCCAAATGAGAGAAGGAGGAAGAATCCAGTTAGAAATATTCACTAGTTAGAGAGGCTTAGAGTAGCCTTGAAATTGCATCATAGTCAATGGCTGAGCTGTTACCTTGCATATATCCTTTAAGACATCAACAGAAGGCTGGGACTCACCCAGCTGGCCTCTCTTCACATTGCTAGCCCTCCTGCTCCACCCTCCTGGGCTTTCTTCCACTGAGTCTCTTTCTTTCCTTCCTCCTTCCTTTCCGTGGGTGCCTGGCCTGGGAAGACCGTGCCCTCCTACCCCAGCAATGGGCCTCCCAGCTCCTGGAAGGGGGTTGCTTCTTACCTTGGTGGTGGGTGGGGACTCTCCATCAGCTGTAATGGATTTCAGTTCAATTTTCTCCTCCTTGGTCTCCTCCACTGCTGGCTTCTCCACCACCTCTTGTTTCTTCTCTGGGCTGGCAGTCCTGGCCGGTCAGCAGGAGGAAAAATTAAAGGAATGTTTACTGAATGATAGGAAACATGAAGACACAGACTACCCTATGGTCTGCTGGGGACCGGTGGGAGCAGACTCCCTGGGCCTACATCCATCTTCCTTCACCCAGGGCACATGGCATGTGTCACTCAATCCCAGATGCCACTGGGCTGGGCCCACAATGCCTGGCCTGGCTCTGTCTGGTACTCAGTTGGCCTCTTTCAGGTTCTTAGCTGCTCCAGTCCTTGTCTGAATCAGAGAAAGTTTCTGGATCTGATTCAGGATTGGTTCCTGGAAAACTCTGCTCAGTATCCAGCAGGTGTGTGGCCTATGACAGTCCCATTTAGACAATGACAGAAGACAATGCAGGGCCTTATCTTGCTTTCTGAACACTGGAGATGAGTTATCAAACAGTGAAAAGGAGTCACTCAGCTGGAACTGCATTTCCTCTCTGAATGGCTGCTTTGTTCTTCTCCGCATCCGTCACTCCCACCACCTATCATGACCTCCCTTCTCAAGAGCATCCCCCAACTTCTTAGACAGGTGGGGGAAATCCAGCACCTTCACCGAGACTGTAATTCATGACGGTCCCTACTTTAGAGCAATGCCTAGGTATTAGCAGAGAGGCCCAGCTTTCTGTAGGAAGCCCCAAACCCAGTGCCCTCTAGGAGGGATGGCTGACAGAGGCCAGCGCCCAAGCCTGTCTTTACCACTAATGGGAATGGCATTCCAGAACTGGGACCCTGGGGCCCTGGGTCTGGGTAAGCTTAGGGGGTTACCTGGCCAGCTTCTTTCTCTCCTTCTCTTCTTCCTCCTCCTTTTGGGCAGATGTGAGGCTCTCAGCATCAGCCAGGTTGTCCACAGCAATGGCCAAGAACACATTCAGTAGGATATCTGTTTGTGTCCATTCTTAAAGAAAATGACCTTGGCCTTGGGGTTTTTGATGGGCACAGGGGCCAGGGAGGTACAGGCCATGCAGTGGTAGAGTTCCCCACAGAGTGAGCTCAATGGTGACTCACCCCGAGGGTTCCCAGCCCAGTGGTGTCCCTCCTCCACCCTTCTCCCTCCCCATCACCCTCCTAGCTACTGGGAGTTTTCTAAGGGGTTGAGAACAGGCTAGCTTGCAGGCTGGAGTGGGCAGCAAGTGAGGCAGTGAGCCTGCCTTGCTCCTTAATTGCTGGGTTTCGTTATTGGTTTCCCCACTGAGATGACTGGCTCTAATTGACATTATAAACAGCATTGTCTCTAGCAGAATGCAGAATGTTCTTAAGAGAGGTTCATTAAAACCGGGTACTGAGGAGGCAGCCTGATATCTGTGCCAACTCTTAATGTGAGCCTGCACATACAAAGACCCTTGGAGTGTCCAGCTGAAGCTGACCGAATCTTGGGAACTCCGAATTGAAGTGGTCATTTGTCCTTTTTTCTTGCCGCCCCACCCCCACCCCCACCTTGAACAGAAACACTGTGGGTCAGAGAACTGCAGAAGCAAAGAAAGTATAGCTGCACCGGCCTTATCATTCGTTAAGTCTAACCTCCACCTCCCGGGCCCCCGGACAGTCACACCATTTCACATACCAGGAAGCCACGACCCACAGGGGTGAAGGGTTTGCCCAAGGGTGCTAGAGTACACCTGCCCCCGGCCCCTGGCACCGTGGGCAGGGGCTTCACATACATCACCCGTTAAACCTCACCAGGACCTGTTAAGTAGTAGGCACTGATATTTCATCACCCCGTTTTACAGACACTGAGGTAGAGAGCCATTAGTTGCCGAGGTCACCCAGAGGGTAAAACGTGCAGCCAGTCTGCTGGCACCAATGCCCAAGCTTTCAGCACTATGTTAAGCCCTGATTTAAACCCAAGTCTTAAAAAAATTAAAAAAAAATAAAAAAAATGAAATAAAAATAAAAAAATAAACCCGAGTCTTGGGCTAGAGCTGCTTCTACTTTACCATCTCCTCTGCACACAGCCCTCACGGGGTTAGACTGCCTGCGGCTTGAGACCCCAGAAACCCGCCCATGGCCTGGATCAGCAAGGACCTGTCAGGTCTGCTTGGGGAAGCCTGTCCAGCTCTGCCTGGGACGAAAGTCCTGGAGAGCGGCTTCAGAGGGAGGGACACTGAGCAGAAAACAGGGAGGAGAGATGAAAGTCATTTCAAGGATGACGGCTCAGTTCCCCTGGATGGCACTTCTTACCTCCAGCAGCCAGAGGCCAGGGCTGTCAGGGTGCCCAGCTCCAAGTGTGTTCACATTGGAATCTATCTGAGTGTCTGTCCCTGCACAACACCAGGGGGCGTTGTTCGCCTAGACTATAATGAGAACACGCCTCCTGGAGTCAGGCAACACTACAGCCCAAACTGGTTCAGGAAGATGAACTTACATCCCCACCTATGCCAAAGCTCCAGGCTTCCACCAAGACCTGCCTCCATGGCTAAGGTGGTTCTGGGACAGGACACGTTTTCTCCCCAGAGCACACCTTTCCCCTGCTTGCCTGGGGGCCCTGTGGGCGGGCAGCCACACTTTTCAGCCCCGAGTCAGGACCTGCTGGGCACACGTATTTGGCATCGTGCTGCAGGCTGAGGGAGGGTGGGGCAGCAGGGGCAGGGAGGCAGGAGCAAAGGATACAGTTTCCACAGATGAAGAGGATGATGAAGTAAATACAGACTAACATCCCTGGAAAAGAGGGGCCGCCATAAGCCATGATCCCATCATACATCACCGAATTCCAGTCCTCCCCGGTCAGGATCTGAATGACACATTCCCACCAATAAGGGACACAGCGTTAGACCAACAGCAAACCCCAAAACTCCCCTGCCCTGCCCCACTATGTTAACAGAATTGTCTAAAATCTCTTTTCCACCTCTCTCCCTCCTCTTGGCCCCCAGTTCTCCTCCCAGGGGCTCTGAGCTAATCACCTGGTCAAGTTTGACCCTATCCTTAGACAAAGTGCACGGGCCCGGCATGATACTATTTGAGAACTGACGGGAAAGACTTCCTGGTCCAAATATTTTCTTCTACTCGACTGCACAAGATGGCTGCCGTTAGCCATTCCTTGGGGCCTTTTTATAAATGTGAACGTGTTTGTTGAGAGAACACTATGCTGTTCCAGCTTTCCCCAACATTAGTCATTTGGGTGCCATCTTCAAGATTTGGGCCACATCCACATATTATTTTTCTTGTAAATCAATCTACTTTAAAACTTCAACAAGTGCTACTTTAGCTTTACTCTACACCAAAATATCTATGAAATGACAAATTTGATGGGCTAGTTATATTTCTTCTGGGGACAAGTGTGGTAGGTAAGAAAGACAGAGCTTCACCACCCTTCCCTCCCCCAACAAGGGCAGTGTCCTTTCCTCTGTTTGTCCTTTGGGTGTTCATGTAGAATTTACTTGAATAAAGGGTTCCATGGTTAAGCAAGAGTTTTTAAACTACTCAATTATATTTTTTTCCCCAGTAGTCCATCCAACAGTGGAATTCCATGGGGGACCGAGGGTAGGGGTTTTTTTAGAAAGAACTCAAGACTCTCCTGGGCATGGACCCTCCATGGCTGATCTAGGCTGGCTTTGGTTGCCCAGTGCAAGGGTGAAGCTTCCCACCACCTTTTCTCCCCCACAACCCAACCCCGCCACTCAACACCCTCCCACTCATCATCCCAGCAGAGAAGAGTCCATACCTGAAACACAGTGAGGAGGGACTGGGGAAAGTTATCAAATGTGCTTCTCCGGGTCTGCATTTCATCAAAGTTGAACTTTCCCCCAAAGAGCTGCATCCCCAGGAGGGAGAAGATGATGATGAAGAGGAAGAGGAGCAGCAGCAGGGAGGCAATGGAGCGTACAGAATTCAGCAAGGATGCCACCAGATTGCTTAAGGAATTCCAGTACCTGAGGACCAGCATGAGGGAGATTAGTGTCCTTTTTCTATGCTTTCCTTAACATCACTCCTCATTCATATACTCACTAGAGATTTTAAGATAAATTACAACTCTTTCTTTTTCCCTTTCATTGGGGTAGTGGTGGTGGTGTGGATTGGGCTGGTAAGCTCACAATTAGAGTGTGGAGCTAGTTAATTCAAGGTCCCAGGATCAGTAATGTGTAATGGCGAATAGATGGAGCTCAGAAGTCAGAAGCCTGACTCTGCCAGCTGCAGCTCCTTGCTGCAGTTGGGCAAGTCACTTAACTTCCCTTCTGTTTGCCTCTGAGAAAACAGAGGTAACAGTAGCACTTACTTCATTAGGTTATTGGGAAGATTACATGAGACAAAAAAAAGCAGCCCACCCAGCAACAAAATAAAGAATAAACAAGTGGGATTACATCAAAAAAAAAAGCTTCTGGTCAGCAAAAGAAATCATCAAAGTAAAAAGACAACCTATGGAACAGGAAAAAATATTTGCAAAACCATATATCCGATAAGGGGTTGATATCCAAATATAGAAAGAACTCAGACAACTCAACAGCAAAAACAAAACAAAACAACAACCAAAAACCCAAATCCCCAATAATCCAATTCAAAAACTTGGCACAGGGGTGCCTTGTTGGCTCAGTCATTTGGGTGTCTAACTCTTGACTTCAGCTCAGGTCATGATCTTGGGGTCATGAGACTGAGCCCTATGTTGGGCTCCGTGCTCAGTACGGAGTCTGCTTGTCCCTCTCTCTCACCCCCCTACTTGGGTGCATGTGTTCTCTCTCTCTCAAATCAATTAATCAATCTTAAAAAAAGTATAGTGCTTAAAAAAAAAATTTGGCACAGGACCTGAATAGACATTTTTCTAAAGAAGATATATGAATAGCCATCAAGTACATGAAAAGGTGCTCAACATCACTAGTCATCAGGGAAATGCAAATTAAAACCACAGTAAGGTATCACCTTACCCCTGTCAGAATGGCCAACATCAAAAAGACAAGAGATAACAAGTGTTGGCAAGGATATGGAGAAAGGGGAACCCTGGTGTGCTGTTGGTGGGATTGTAAACTGGTGCAGCCACTATGGAAAACAGCATAGAGGTTCCTCAAAAACTTAAAATTCAACTACCATATGATCCAGTGATTCCAATTCTGGGAATACATCCAAAGGAAATGAAAACACTAACTCAAAAAGATATCTGCACTCCCCACGTTCTTTGCAACATTATTTACAATAGCCAACCCAAGTGTCTATCGAGGGATGAATGGACAAAGAACTTGTGGTATATATAATACACACACACACACACACACACTGGAATGTTATTCATCCATAAAAAAATGAGGAAATCCTACCATTTATGACAACATGGATGGACCTTGAGGACATTATAAAAAAAGAAATAAGTCAGACAGAGAAAGACAAATACCGTATGATTTCACTTATATGTGGAATCTAAAAACAAAAACAAAAAAGCAAAAAAACCCACCTAACTCATGAAGAAAGAGATCAGATTTGTGGTTACCAGAGGTAGGAAAAAAAAGGAGGGAGAATTGGACAAGAGCGTCAAAAGGTATAAACTTCCAGTTATGAGATAAATAGGTCATGATGATGTAATGTACAGAATGATGACTATAGTTAACACTGCTTTATGATATTAACAGATTAGATCCTAAAAGTTCTCATCAAAAGGAAGGATTTTTCCCCTTTCTTTTTATTGTATTTATATAAGACAACGGATGTTAACTAAACCTATTGTGGCGATCATTTCATAATAAATGTAAATCACACCATCATGTTGCATGCCTTAAGTTTATACAGTGATGTGTGGCCAATTATTTCTCAATAAAACTGGAAAAAATATAATTCCTACTCTTAAAAAAAATACCCTAGTATAGAGCCTGGCACACAGTTGATAAAGGTTAGTAATTACTGAAAAAAAAATTGGTCTTTAGACAGAAAAACACATTACAATTTTTTTTTCTTCAAGAATGATGTCCTCAGCCCAGGCAGCAGCTGGTTACCCATGGGTTTTTTTTTTTACAAGGCTTAGTGATGTTTCCCAGATTTACCCTGCTGTCTAAAGAATTGGTTTTTATAAAGCGTCTCTTCTGGAGATTCTGATTCAATTGTTGCAGTTTGGGGCCCAGAAATCTGTATTTTTCACAAGCATCCCAGATGATTCTGACAAGCAGGCATGTCTGGGAAATCCTGGGTTACAGGAAACCCATCCCACCCACAGGATGGGAGTCTGTGAAGGGGGTAGAGAGGTCTTCCCCGGGCGGAGATGGGCCATTGGTGGGGAGTGTTGGAGAGGAGGCCCCTAGTCCTGCTAGTCACAGACCTCTCGCCACTATAGACACAGACATTCTCCATGGTAGCCTGGGGAAAATGCCTCCCTCTTGGAAAAGGAGGGAGGTGTGGGCTGCTCATGGCCACGGGATGTGGCTTGGGTCAGTCAGGGTAAGGAAATGCACCATAGTAGCAAAAGGAACACAGCCTCCAGCTGGAGCAGGTGCAACAACAGAGAAATCTCCCTTCCTTAGCTCCATCTGTGGCCTGTCTGCTTTCCAGGTCACCATCTTGATTTCCTTCACTTAAGGCATTCCCAGCTTATTACCAATATACACAGTGAATTGTTTTTGCTGCTTAAAAGGGTGACATGCAAACCACTCCCATTATAGCCTCACAGCTGCACCCCCAGCCTCTGTACTTCTCTCCAGAAAATGGTTCCATATTAGTTGAAAGAAGCAGATGGGCCAACAGTTTGGAGGTAAACGTGAACTTCTTGCCAGCCTGGAGTCTTTAATGCTCCTTTCTCCTTCACAAATTCAGCCTTTTTCTACCTCTATTTTGCCGGCCAGCCACACTTCCTCTGTTTGCAGAATATTAATATACATTTATTTGTATCTGTTCTATAAATGCTCTTCAGTGTTTTTCATTTGTGACAGTCTCATCTCACCCAAATAGGCTCTGAGTTCTTGAGGACAGAGACCAGAAGTTTTTTTCTTCCATTCTCTCCATCTTTGTCCTCACCTAGTAAGTGTGACGGACTGCCTTTTTTTTCATAGGCTAGAGTTGTCATATTTGTTTTGCTTAAAGTAAGAAGTAAGAGAACCTCTCTGGGGCTAGAATACCTGCCCCTCTTATATTTAAAGCAGTGTTCCCACACCTGGCTGGAGAGGAAACAGCTGAGGAGTTGGGTCATTTTCTAAATACCGATTCCCAGGCTTCACCCTGGAACCATGAAATCATAAACTCTGGAGCTGGGGCTTGACTGATTTTCATGCAACCACTCCAACACTTGTCAGTAGACTAGTATTTAGGAACCAGTAACTTTAGAGCATATTTATAACAAGAATTTTCAGCTGTATCAGAGGGGAGAGTGTCTGCATACAGATTAAGGTCACAGAGCCACCTAGAAATCTTCTGTGTGCTCAATTGTCATGGAATATTCTGGAAAAGTCTTTATGGCCATAGAAGGTAGAAGTCTTAATTTTCATGAGGTGCATGGACCCAGGGAAATAACTCAAACCAGGCTCATGACTGAGGTGTCTGTTCAGAGGTCCCTGTGGGGAGCCGGACAGGGAGCCTATGGGGAGCCACATAGGGAGGCCCCAGACTGGACAGAGGTTTGGTGGAGTGGAGCAGCCAGGAGGCAGAGAGGGAAGGGGATGTGGGAAGAGCCCCTCAGAGTGTCCGGGGTTCTGGGAACGTGGAGGCCATGGTAGAGAAACAAAATGAGTCATCCAGTGGAGGAGAATGTTGGGCATGAAAGATGGCAGATAATGAGTGACCTAGAGGGGCTGGCCCGTGGAGCAGGGCTGAGGGCTGCAACGGTCAGAAGGGCCAGCTGTGGGGCAGAGCGTTTGACTAAAAGTGAGGACTCTTCTCATGCTTCCCTATGTCCCTCAAATTATCCAGGGAAAGTCTGTGTTTCTCTTGGTCAACCGGCAGTGGGCTCACAACATGAGATTTGTGGAATGACAGAACTCCTACTCCCATTGTCTCCCTTAGTAAGTGACAACTGCAGTTTCTGGCTCAAGACACAACCCTTGCAGTTACACTTCACGTCTCTCTCACCCCCCATGTCTCTCTTGCCCACCGGCAAGCTCTGTGGCCCCATCTTCCAAGCGAAGCCTGAGTCTGGCCACTTCCCATGACTCTGTCACCAGCCGAGCCAGCAACCTCCCAGCTGGATTTCTGCCCCCTGATGGGTTGCCCTGCTTTGACACTTGCTCCCTGCAACCCTTCTCCATGTCACATACATCTCAGGTGAAAAGCCATCAAATGCACCATACCTTTTTTTAAAATTGATAGTAATGGATTATAACACATTGAAAAAACAATCTAAATCCACTTTTTTTTAAGAAAGGAGGGAGAGGTTTACTTTACAGAATATAATGGATAATATGAATGAATGAATGAATGATAGAATTAGAAGATCACCCTTTTGCAGCAGCAACTAATTCAGGTAAAGATCATCATGGACTCTAAAACCATTAGGTGAAAGACTGTTGGCCAGTAGGGCATTCATGCACTCTCAAAGTATCACTCCATTGATTACTTATTAATCACAAAGAGAAAGGGCACCTTAACAGTGGAGAAATCTGGCAGACATCCCCTTAACCAAGTTTCTACACTTAGAATCAACAATAACGGGACAAATTTATATTACATACTTCCCAATGACATGTGTTGGGAGGTACACAATCATCTACGTACTCCACACCCTTGCGGCAGGAGGCCCTTTTAAATCGCAAGTCACACCAAGGCTTAATGCTGCTTCAAGCGCTCGAGAAGCTTCCCCTTGGAAGGCCTAGCAGATCGTGTGGGATCAGCTCCTCCCACCTCCATGACCTCTTCTCCTCCCACTCTCCCTCTCTCTTTTGCTCCAGCCCCCCGGTCCCCAACTGTCCTCTCAGCCTCCATGCATACTCCTGCTCTGGTCCCTGTTTTTCTGCTGTTTGCAGAGGTCTTC